GAGGCCATCGCTGGTAGGATGGAGGCCATCGCTAGTAGGATGGAGGCGATCGCTATTAGTTTATTTTCTGGCAAAAGAAGTTTTGCTCGATGCTGATGCCTCACGCTCCAGCCCACTGAAGCAAGCACTCAAACCTCAGATGCATCTGACTCGTCTTTGGGCAATTCGGACCAATTCGGCATTTCAGAGCTAACATGCAAGAACCAAGGGAAGGAAGGAACACAATCATCCACATGCAAAGAGGCAAGCTGGAAAACACAGAAAGACTAGGAACTGCGACCGAAGTCGTATAGGGAGACAAGCTCAAATGGGGGGCTGAAACGTGTCGACCGCATCCCTCCTAGCGAAAAGGTAGCTTGACACAATCAAGAACACAAGCCGAGCCCAAAACACATCCCGAACGCAAACTTGGTGTTCAATTGTTAAATTTGCTGCTGTGCAAACCGAGTTGTTTGCAATCCTACAGGGTATTGTTCAGGGGTATCGTTCTTGGGGGGCACGCTGGGCACAAATGAAACCCAACCCAAATATCTGGACATACCCTTATAGAAAAAAGACGGAACCTAATCGCAATGGCCTCCAACCTACTAGCAATGGCCTCCAACCTACTAGCCTGGACATTTGCAGCCAACTTGAACCAGCTGTTCAGACAGAAAGCCAATGGCATCTGGCAGAATGTTGTGCATCCCCAGCCAAAAGGCCTCGCGAAATAGTCACGAGATGCCGACTTTGGGTTTGAGACAGTCACGACCGAGATCCAGGGATAGTTAGAAGCAGGAGCATTTTTTGAGAAAACACATGCCATAAAGCTGCTTTATATTTGCCTTCTGCTGCTTATAGTATATTGATGTATATTGAGAAGCTTTCGATCGAACCTTCAGTGGTCTTGTTGAACACAGCTCTGACCTCTGACCTCTCACATCTAAAACCTGGTGAGGGCCCCTGGCCTCCTGCCAGAGATTCAATTGTGCACACCTCCGACAAACGACTCAGTCAGAACGAGAGCATCGACGACAAACGAGTCCTTCACGAAAGGGTTGAAGAAGCGTGTTGTTGTGAAAGTACCAGAAAAAGCTACTAGGAACAAGTGCATCGCTTCTAGTAACAAGTGCCTTACTAGTAGTAACAAGAAGCTATTAGAATATGTTTTTGTGCTAAGAAGCGATCTGGTCTTCCTTTAGACCTTTGGACCGTCTTCTTTCTGATCTTTCTTCCTTTTCACTGTCAAAGTGGTGATCCAATGGGTTTCACATGTCGCCCAAAGCGCCCAAAGCGCCCAAAGCGCCCAAAGCGCCAAGAAACCCGGCAGCCACAGCATTGCGCCCCACACGTCTTTGACGCCCACGAGTTTCAGGAAGCAGGGTCAAGGCCATCTCCCAACGTTTGCCGCAAGCGCTGGCCGCGGCATTCAACCTTGCAATCCAAATCGGATTGACTTTGGAAAGTCCACTTCCCTGTATCTCCGCTGTTAATTAGCTTCGCCTTGGAAGCCTGGGCGGTTTTCCCTCGCTACAAAACACGCACTCTCTTCGAAACGAGCCGAAACAACCGTCGTTTGCTCGGAATGGTGAAAACCACCGTTTCAATTCGACCCTTCCTAGTAGTAACAGGTGCCTTACTAGTAGTAACAAGAAGCTAGTAGAAACAAGTGCCACGCTAGTAGTAACAGGTGCCTTACTAGTAGTAACAA